TAAAATTCTAGAGTCCAAACTTTTACTTTTCCCTTTTTGCTTGCTAGACAGTTGCTTTCACATAATTAGCTGTTCTACAGCGTGTCTTATAGCCCAACGCACCAGCCAAGATGCAAGATGACAGACAGAGTCTAGGGGCTTGGCTTATTTTCAAGGTGTTACATGTACTCATGCGAAAAAAATACAGAACTACAAAAATGACAGCAATTAATATAACATATACAAACATTAATTTATCTATTTATTTGGAGATACATGTGCCCGAAAAAGACAATTAGACCTTAACAAACGTGTCGAAAGTCATCATCATTTGTGTAAGAACGTTCTCTAAATCAAAATTAGAAAAATGCGAAGACCCAAGATAACCTCAAAAAAATCTAATACCAGAAAAAACCCTTGGGATTATATATGTCTCGATCAAATAACTCAACGCCAGATTAATGTCAATCAGATAACACCAATATCTATATCAAAACTCAACTAGTTCTTTCTTGATTTACCAAAAACTGTTTAGTTATTGTTTCTGTTGCATCCAATTGATTCTCTACTTTACTGAGCACAGGCAGGGAATACAGATGCATATTACAAACTAATATCATAGAAAAGGTAATTGCAAATGACATGACAACATGGAAATCATTTATCATCGGTGCAAAAACAGAACAAGAGCACTAGAATATACTCACAAGCTCCTGCATCTTAACACGGCAGAACTCAATTTTCTGTTTTGAATCTGTGATCTCCTTTTCCAACTCTTCTACCTTCATATTAGAATAATTAAAACATTAAAAAGAAGAGAAGGAAATCAAACATTAATTGCAGGAAAGCTATGTCAAGTACTTTAAGCAAAACAGATACTAAAAACAAAAACAAGAAATATAAAAATTAACTAAGACATGCTTTATCAATAAAAATTGAATTCAAACACTTGGAAATGAAACAGAATAAAAAAGTAACAGAGATAAAATACTCATATACAGTTCAACTCTTAAAGGAACTAAAAATTCTTTTATGAGAGGAATAAGAAAATGATATTAAAAGCACCCAGGGATCCCACTCATATATTAAAATGTTTACAGCCCTCAAAAGGGAATAGATCAATATGACGAAAAAATCAACCACATCAAACACAGAATGACCTTTACACAAAATATTAAAGCGTTTAAGCCAATGATCCAGGATTGAAGCAAAGGAGAAGAGGAATTTTTGAGATAAAGGTGAAGAGGAATTTTTCAAAGCTCTATTCTGGACTATCCAGAATTAACATAGTAAAATTCCCACATACTCAAATTAACATAACTAATGTTTATATCACTGAACATCCATGATATAAACATTTGTAGAATTAACACATTCTTGAACAAACATCTTTGTAGAAATCGATGATTTGGCGGTTTTCAAATGTAGCAATTGCTGATATCATCTGGACTCTACCAATGCAATAGACTTGAAAAATAGTTCCAAAAAAAAAAAACTCAAAAAGCACTAGCAAAGATAGATATACTGGAAAAATCTCACAAGAAGCAAAAAGGTGAATGATCACAGAAGAAAAACTTTAACAGTAGACAATATGGGAAGTACCTTTTTATTAATGGCAGTTGCCTCCTGGAACTTTGCATTCAATGAATCCTGCTCTTCCTTGCTGAGTTGATCCACTATATGTTTCTCCAGCACTGGAACTTTGGGCTTCTGATGACCAGCTGGCATAGCTCCTTCACCGTGAGAAGCAGGAACAGGCCTTGGTGGTTTACCCCTTGCAACAGCGAGAGGCGGCCTTGAAGCACCAGGAATATTTGATTGCTGGAAACCTATTCAAAATTTATTGGATATCACATCCACCAATGAATAGATAAAATGGATGCAAGTTAAATATTAAAAACTTGTTGGGAAGGTCATACCATATGCCGGTCTCCAAGTTGCATTGCCATAGGCAGCTGGAGGTTGAGCTGTGCCAAAACCTAGAGTTTCACCAGGCATGATGTTGCTTGGAAGCATTGTAGGAAGAGTGCGACCTTCCCTGTAACGCTCCATCAAGTAAAGAGCGATACAGAACTCCCTAAAGGAGAGCATGCTGTCATTATCTTGATCAGATAGATCCCACACCTGCTTCAAGATCTCTGGAACACCAAGAGTAATGATATAGTAAGCATCACAGAATAATGGTACTCACTGATTACACTTGTCGAGTACATCACACAAGATCTATAAGGATATCCTGAAATGACTGTTAAAGCTTCAACATTCTTGATCAAGAACAGGGAAAGCTACAAAAGATATAGAAAGGAATAAAAGAATTGACTGGTACCAAAGGATTGAATAGAAATCAAAACTACAACAATAACATTACAACCAAGCCTTCAACAAAAGCTCTTTTTCTTTTTTGGTTAGAACCTGTCAAAAATTTTAAATCAGGTTGAGCTGCCCTAGGAACCCAGTCATTTTTCAATATGCATTTTGGGCAATGTAAGGTTGACCCTTATTATAGCCTTCAGAAAGAATTCCTATTTTGCAGCCTAAGCAGAAATAACTGCATGGGAAGTGTTGATAAACACTATCATTGCATCAAGAGCATATTGAAACAACCAGACACCACTCAGCTACTAGGACAGAGATTGCATATTGCAATTCCATTAAGCCAGATGCATATTTGATACCAAT